TCTCTCTTTCTCTCTCTTTCTCTCTCTCTCTCTTTCAGCTCGCCTTTCCACCTTCGTGTTATTTTCCTCTATCGCACGCGCTGTCGACGACATTCGGACTTGTCAGCTCCGCGTGGGCCGTCCTCCGCCCCCATAACCATCCTTTCTCCTCCTTTTCTTTCTTGCTGTTGTTTGGTTTTTGCGGACTTCGCCCTGTAGCTCTTATCGAGCGTGGAAAAGAAATGGAACACTGCGAAGTGCAACGTAGATTGCCTTCCGTACTTTGAAAAAAAGGAGATGAATGCAATCCACGCCAAGGGGTATGGAAAACGGGGTAAAACAGTACTAGCGCTGGAGTCCGGCGGACGGTCTTATGTGCGGACCTGAGTGCGCGCGTGTGAAAGGGACGAGAGAGCGTGGACGAGGCCTCCTGTCTCACCCCCGCAACGGCACAGTCGCCACCCGCTTCTCTTACCTAAAGGTGATGTGGAGTACTCAGTGAGGGAAAAGAAAGGTAGAAGAAATATTTAAAAAATGAAAGTCGCAGGAAACTCCCTTTCACGATACAGTGTGTTGGAAAACCAAGAAAGATAAATTTATGTAATTCTCAGGTAAAGGTTTGACCTGTTGGTAGGTGATGATTTGTAGGGTGTAGGTCATTCTCTCTCTTGCTGTCTTCTCATTACACCGCTGCACATCCCGCGGCGCCGTTTCTTATACGCATATCCATATATCCATATAAATATATATATATATATCTTCCAACATCTCCTTTATTTTCTTTTACCGCACGGCAGCAAACGGAGAAAGTAGCACAGCTTCCCCGCGGCAAAGGAAATTTGTTTGTCGTTCATTCATCTGTCAACACACGTTGATCAAAACAAACACGAGAACCCTCTGAAGTCAAACGTCAAACGAAGAAACGAACGAAAGAAGCTGGACTCCTGCAAATTGATTACTGTGCTGCATCTATTCCTTTGATAGGCGAAGGAGAAGTTGTTATATATATATATTTCTTTTCTGTTCATACTGACTGCAGAGGTGTGCTAGTCAAAGTCATCATCGTGCGTGTGTCTGAGCGTGTGTTTTTAGTTGTTACCTTCCGATAGAGGAGAAAAAATGGGGAACGGCGCTTCGAGCGATAGCAGGGCCGGGACAGAGCGGGCCGCGTCCCGGCCGCACTCCGCGGCTGCTGGTGCGCCCCGCAAGCAGCGCGTCCTCGCCAACCAAGCTCCACGTCGCAGCACCAACAGCTTCCGCTCCCCGGCCGCCATCAAGGAAGCAGACGTGTCGCGTGGAAGTGCGGCGCACAGCACGGCAGCGAAGTCGATGGCCCTGCAGCATGCCGCCGTGCAGCGCCGTGCAGAGGTGAACCCGAAGGAGGAGGACGCTATCCGTGCGTTCACTCGCAACGCCGATCCCAAGTCACTGCGTGTGTTGCAGCTGATCCAGCAGGCGGATGCGGTGCCACCGAGCAACCCAGCAGAGAAGCTGCGGCTTCTACGCCAGTGCTACCCGCTCTTAGAGGAGGTGCCGAAGGAGCGCTTTGATCAGCTTGCCGTCACCGTCTACCAGCAGGAGGGCGACATCTACTACCAGCAGATGAACATCCCCAACGCAAAGGACACCTTTAGCCGCGCCATCACCCTGGCCGAGAAGCGCGTGGCGCGGCAGGACACGGACATGTATATGGTTTTGAAGCGGTACGTGCTGGCGATGATCGGGATGGCGCGCATCTGGTACGACCACGAGCGCGACCACCAGGGATTCAAGTTTGTTGATCGCAAGAACCCGAAGATACCGGCGGTAGACCCGGCAGATTCCGACGACGGCAGCTCGTCCCTCAGCTCGCTGGAGAGCAGTCTGTCCTCCGACGGCGGCAGCGTCTTCAGCCTCAACGAGGCGATCATGCGCTCCATGGCCCCTCGCCCCCCTCGCCGGCAGACCGGGCCGCTCTTCAAGCGGCTGAAGGTAAAGGCCCCCCACATGCTGAAGAACGCGCAGTTCGACCGCGAGGACGAGTTCGTCCTCCACAGCCGCATGACGCGCGAGCTGGTCGCCTCGCCGTGCGAGCTGCTGCTGCTGCGGTGCTGCGAGGTGGTCCAGATCGGCCATAACGCCCAGTCGGAGCTGCTCATCCCGCCTCTGATTGAGCTGGCGCAGATCTACGAGGACCTGGAGCTCTACAGCCGGGCCCTGCTGCTCGTCCGTCGCTGCCTGGGCATCCTGTGCAGCGTCTACGACTACGACCATCCGTGGGTCGTGCAGCTCATGCAGCGCGCGGATCGACTGAAGGCGCTGCTCGAGGAGCAGCTGCGCAACGACAGCGCGACCAAGATACAGGCGACGTGGAAGATGCACAAGGCGATGGAGGCGTTGGCCGACGCGCTCGGGCACCCGGTGAAGCGACACCTATGGATCCCCCGCAAGTACCGCGCCACGCCCGAACTCGACTACCTTGGCGACTTCGTCGGGGACATGCCGGACGACGGCCTCCTCGGCGACGACAGCGTGGAGCCGGAGGCGGATCTGCAGGACCCGCGTACGTGGGCGATGGTGCCGCAGACGGCGCCGGTGCCGGAGGTGTCGCTCAGCAGCGACCGCGCACGCCCTGTTCCGTCCTACGAAGGTGGAGAGTTGCAACGGCCCTCCCCCGCAGCGCTCGAGTACTACGCCCCGGTCGAGCACCACGAGGACGGCGAGACGTTTACGGCGATGGTGCCGAACGCGAGCGTGGTGGGGACGACGCAGGACACGCAGACCGACACGGAGGTGCGGCACACCGAGCTGGGGGATGTGCTGACGCTGCGCACGACAACGGTGACCAAGACGATCACCGCAGAAGTGGCTCGCAGCGATGATGACGAAGGAGAGGAAGAAGAAGATTACGAAGACGGTGACAGCCCCCGCGAGGTGCCTCCACCACAGCAGCAACGGCGGCAGCCACCACAGCCGGTGCAACCAACGCCCTCGCCGCCCCCACACGACAGCCCGTACTACAACTACGGCAGCAATGTTGATCCAGCGCCACAGGAGGACGAATACGACGATGAGTATCCCGTAGAGGAGGAGCCGGAGTACACGTCGAGAGCGGCCCCACCGCCACCACAGCAGCAGGCGCGTCAGCCAATGCCGCCCCCGTCACCCAACGCCGAAATGCAGAGACGGCGCGACTCCCCGCCGCCGCAGCGGCAGCAGCCGCGTCACGACGCCGCCGTCGCTGCGCACCGACCCACTCCAAAATCCTCGCCGCCGCCACCGAAGCAGCAGCGGCAGGCGAAACAGACACAGGTGCAGTCGCGTGCACACGCCACCAGCACCCAGACGCGCACGACACCGCCGCTGCCGGTCACCGCCGGTCTGCCGGCGCCGGCGCCGCAACCGCGTCGTACCTCTGCTGGCACGCAGTACGACGTGGAATCAAACCCGGGCAGCGAACTTCGTCCCCCTGAGCCGCCGTGGCAGGAGCAACAGCCGGCGCGTGAACGTGCACTGCCAGCGCGGCAGTCAGTCCGCTCACCCTACGACGACGAGATCCCTTCGTTGGCGGTGCAGAGAGGGGCGCGACCTCCGCCGAGCGACGACGACGACGGTGATGATGACAAGGAAGGAGTCAGTGCACCTCCCCCGCCGCGGCAGCCGCCCTTGCAGCCTTACAGCCCGGCGGTGATGCACAACGCGAAACGAGAACCACTCCGCTACCTCGTGGAGCCGAGTGAGGCGTACCCGCTCGACGTGAACGGCGCCCCGGCCTTCCTGCCACCGCTGCCGTACCGCGCCGGCTTGGGGCCGAGTGGGGTGCCGCTGGCGCCGTACCCAGAGAGGGGTGCGCTGGTGGCGCGTGTCCCGAGTCGCGGCGAGGCACCGCGCAGTGACGGGGCCCTCCAGCTCTACAACCCCCGCAACGGCGACCCAAATGCGCAGCCCGGCATGCCGATGACGCTGCCCTCCCCGGCAAACGGCTACCCGCGACACACGCAGCTCGCACCGCCGCTGCCGCCACCGCCGCTGCGGAAGGTGACGCGGGATCACAAGATCATCAAGACCCGTATCGTGCGCACGTACCGGCGTGGTCCTGCGACGGACAGCGAGGACGGCACGCAGGCAGACGAAGAGGAGGTGGACGGCGACGAGCGCGTCTTTCAACACGAGAGTGGCAGCAGCTGGGAGACGAGCGGCAGCGTCAGCTGGGCGGCGACGCGCAGCAGCCGCAGCGAGGAATCGGGGAGCGCGGGGGTGCCAGCAGACGCGGCGTCTTCCGCCGCAACGTCGCCGCGGCAGCACCACAGTCACACACGTGAGCGGAAACCCTCCTCGTCCGCGCATCCGAAGATGGTGATCAAGCGGCCGAAAGGAACCGGCGCGGAGTCGGCGCGCGACGAGGACGGCAACAACATGGCTCCCAAGCACCACAGTACGGAGACCGCAGCAAAAACGAAGAGGCCGCCGGAAGGCGGGGACGATGATAGCGCGATGAAGCCGGAGGTGATCAACGCCTCGGTGCAGCACCACGTCAAGCACAAACGTCGCTCCACGACGACGACGACGGTGCGCCACCTCGACGACTCCACCGAGATGTAACAATAAAAAGAGAAGCTCAAAACGTAAGCACAGTGAGTGGTTTGGTACGTCTTGCCGGCGATGCTTCTCGTGTGTTCTTCCTCCTTCAACAGTCGCCGCATGCAGCGGAGCTGGCGGACAGCGGTGCCTGCCGTACTGCTATTTGCTACTTCATCTGTTTTGCTGTTCTCGCCGCTCGTCGTATTGATCTCGTCGTACCATCACCGTCTGTTTCCTGTGTTCGAGAAACAAAAACACGCGCAGAGAGAACGCCGACGACTTCATAGTGTCTCACTTCGAACGTTTTCTTTTTCTCGGAGTTTTCATAGTTATTCTGTTTTTTTTTTGTTGTTGTTGAGATTCTTTTTTCTTCTTTCTTCTTTAGACTGTCGTTCTCCAGCCCTTGTGTATGGGTGTATGTGTGTGTGTGTGTGTTCCCCTTGGAAGATGATGATGGGTAGACGGCGTAGCATGAGGTGAGGAGAATACCATTGAACATGGCAGAAGCAAGTCCGACGGAGTGTTTATCATTACTACTATTGCTATTATTCTGTTCTTCCTTCTCCCCCCTTTAGCGTGTACTTTACTCTTTAGAAAGTGTTTGGACGTATGAATGTCTATGCGTGTGTCTGCCGGCCTGCGTGCTGGCCGTCTCGGGTTGCCTCATCGTACTCTGACGCTTCTTTTTTTTCTTGCTTACCTTCTTTTTACCTTTGCGCTGTTTCTTGTCGTGATTGACGGGCGTTGCTGCCGCTCCATCGTCTGCGCGCCATTATTATTTTTGCGGAAGTTCTTATCAACATTTTTTAGATAGTAATTTTCTCCTCCTTCTTCTTCGTTTTCTTTTCTGTCTTCGAACGGAAAAGCTTTCCGATGGCTGCCGCGGCGAGATGCCTGAAGAGGTGCGAAGAGGAGCGGCGGGCTTTCCCCTCCTCCACCCATCCGTTAACGCTGCGATGATGCGGCGGCGGCAGTCCACTGCAGTGGCGCTGCTTACACGTTTCTTTTTCCCCCGGGTGTATGTGTGTGTCTCTGCGTGTTGTGTCCGCCGGTAATCAAACAGCAGGTCTTGGCATTCAGTTCTTTCGGCCTGGCAACTTCTCTCCCGTAACCGCTGCCGTCGCCACGCGTAGTAGTCCTCTTGGATTTGCCCTCCTCCCTCCCCTCCTCTTCGCCTTCCTTTTTTTCCTTTCATGTGCTCCGTAAATGATACTATCTACATGCGCGTGTATGGATGAGGAAAAAACCGCGACAGCGCCGTTAGCATTGAACAGAGTAGAAGCACTTATCGGGAGCGCAGTGCATTATTATTATTGCTACTATCGGAAGGAAATCAAAGTAGAAGAGAGCCATGCGGGCCACACCCCATTACCCTCCCGCGCAGCCCAACACCTCGGCCCGGACAGACTACTACAACGCATACGCCTGCGATGGCGCTTCGCAGGACGACGCGGTGGCGTACGCTGACGACGACTACAACCGAAACGCGGTGGATCCTACGAGCCGTCGGCATCACTCTTCCGTAAACGCCGCACCGCGAGTAAGCCACAGTTCCCAGACCTCTCTTCCTGCTCCGCTACCACCGCCGCAGCAGCAGCAGATACGACCATCGCAGCAGAGTCCCTACTATTCCCCACCACAGCAGCAGCAGCAGCAGCAGCAGCGGCAGCGGCAGTCACCGCGCGCCACGCCACACCAGGCACAGCACATGGACGATGACGGTGCTGTCAACTCGGCAGTGTACACCATGCAGGACACGTACACGGACACGCAGACGCACGAAACGGACTACGGGGGCGTGTTGACGATTCGCACGACAACCGTGACGCGCACCATCGCGGAGCGTCTGGTCCGAAGCGACGAGGACGACAGCAGTAGCGAAGACGATGGAGAGCCACAGGTGGCGCGGCAGTACCGTGAGGATGCGTAGCGCAAACAAGCAACAACACCAATATGAAAAGAAAGAGGTCATTCTCGATCTGCAGCGCGAGTCGCGGTGCCTCAAATTTTGAATATATATAATTAACAATATGTTTCTCCAGCTTCTGTGAGCCCCTATTCATATATATTTTGTAGGCGCCGTCGCTGTGGCGGTGCGTGTGTGTGTGTGGGTTAAATCATCGTGTTTCTTTTCCGTTGTTGGTTTTTTTTTTCAGCAGCTCGTCCGCTTCTCGGGAGGAGCACAAAACGCAGAGCTCTAATTATATATATATATATATATATATATATATATATATAT